TTCAACATCCACACTGCTTTGACAGTTCAGGGTAGGGAAGAATCGTAGAGTAAGAATTTAAACTAGAGTCTGATGGAGAAAAAGGCAGATGAAGAACAGGAAGAAGCATTTAACAAAAGCAAAGGAAAGAAGGAAAACACAGTGGCAAAAAAAGTGCATCAAAGTCTATTCCAAAGAAGCACACAGGCCTTAAACAAAACCAAAAGCTTCACGGATCTGGTACTGTTCAAACAAGTTTCAAAACATGGAAAATTCCATTACTCCCTCTTTACGGAAGAGGCAACGGCAACAGTCATCTTTCAGAGAAAAAGAAACCCGAGGGAAGAAAACACTACAAATTGCAGATTTGAAACAAACATCATCATTCAGCATGTCCTTTCATGAAAGTTTTAAGTTGAGACATTATTTTGGGAAAAGCTGGAGGGCATGTGTGGGCAATAAAAACAGAGGCTTTAATGGAAAGAAACTGGTCATGGCATTAACAATTGACAGACTATTATCCTTCGGTAATGAACTGACATGATGGTACTGCTTTCCTTTGCTTTCCTTTGTTTTTAAATAAAGGACACTGTCTCATTGCCTGTTGACTACTACAGAATGGTTCTCAATGCACTTGCAATGCAGCATTCACTCAATTACAGTAGTTATTTCTTCTTAACTGTAAAAAGGGAACACAGACAAACTGCATAAGGACAAACTACATGTTTCAAAGGCTAAATTAAAAAGTGTAATAAATATGTGCAATTAGATAATTTACAGAATTGTTAGGCTTGTGAATCCTCCTTCCTCACTTCTTGTCCTTTTAATTCTTGCAAATATAAAAAGGCAACTTACCGTGTTCTGTCCTTTACAATTAGGATGCTTGGAGAATTCAGCACACTACCTAGGTCTGACAGGTATGGTAACCCAGAAAAACAACTACGTGCATTTCAACAGCCAGAGGGAAGACTTCTAAATGCAACTAAAGACATCCTGAAGCAGCACAGTATATTAGGATCACCAATTACATGAAGAACCAGAGCAACAGACTAGCCTGACAAGAAAGCCTCCTGAAAAATATAACCATTAGATAATTATGATTGCTGATGAAGAAACAACTGAAGGGGAAAGAAATTAAAACTGTAAGGAATTTTAAGCAAATGCAGAGCATATCTAGAATATGAGATAAGTTTGTAATGTATTATTATGCCTGAATTCATACAGCCTCAGCAAAACTCTGCTTAGAATTACTTCAGGGCATTCCAGAAACACATAACTTGACTGCTACACATGACATGAATATAAAAATTAGTAAGAATTTGACATGAATTCAAAGACAAAAAAAAGAGATTGTTTTATAAGAGGTTGTTTGTGAACTGTATCACTGCTGAAGTGTTAAATCATGCAGCAAGGCTCAGAGTTTGCCAGTTTCAAAGGCTTTACTCTGCAAGTCAGCCCATCACTGCAAATGCCCACTGTTAAAAAAACAAACCAAAACAAAACAAACTGCTACAAAAATTAGGAAACTGATTGTTCAAGTTTGTGGCAGTTAGCAAACAAAATTAAATAAACTTGAAGTTTTCCTCTTTGGCTAGTCTGACACGATGGCTTTTGTATCTTTGAACCTTTCCCACCTTCATAGAATAGAATCATAGAATAGTTTCAGCTGGAAGAGACCGTGAAGATCATCGAGCCTGTTGAAGTCTTCCACAGTCAAAGTTTACCAGATCTTATAATCTGATGTCCGTGATCACATTTCCCTCCAGGAGACTCTAGATCAGGCATCAGAAGCGAACATATTGACTAGGATTAATTTTAGTCCATTTGATTATCCTTCTACATGTTGATGAGACATGGATCATGTGTGGGAAGCACCCATACCTTACTTGCTGAATCAAATCATGCAAGTCCAAAAGAGCTGCCTTAATGCTGTGTAGTATTTTCTGGTTCTGTAGAGCTTGAAAAACCACCAAACTAGTGGAAGTCCTCCTTCACAAAGACAAATCAGACCTCCAGCCTCTGTATTAGTATCCCCTTCTGTATGTACCAAACTCCTCTTTCCGTTTGTCCCACTGCTCTTCCCATAGAATCACAGAACAGTTTCTGTTGGAACAGACCTTCAAGATCATCGAGTCCAGCCTTTGCCCCAGCCCTACCAACACCACTAAACCATGTCCCTCAGCACAACATCTACCTGTCTCTGGAACACCTCCAGGGATGGCGACTCAAGCACCTCCCTGGGCAGCCTGTTCCAATGCCTGACAACCCTCTTAGTGTGCCTCACACTTTCAGTAAACTGCCAATGAACATACATCAAACTCTTGTGCAGCACTCGTTTTAAAAGAAGAGCAAGGCAGGTGTCTTCTCCCAAGTATGTATCATGGTGCAGGAGTCAAAGGCTGTGAACTCCAGCTGGAGCCCCTTATTTACATCAGAGAAAGAAAACATGAGACACAGCCTTCCCCATACCACCGCCTAACAACTGCCTTATACTACACTTCAGCTGATCCCCAAGGTCACTAATGGCATTCCACTCTGATCACAGAATCATAGAATGGCCTAGGCTGGAAGGGACCTTAGAGATCATCTGGTCCAACCTCCCTGTCATGGGCAGGGATGCCACCTCTCGACTAGACCAGGCAACACATGGGGACCGAGCAGGAATCGAACCTGTGACCTTGGTGTTGTCATTGTTGCCAGCACTGTGCTCAAACCACTGAGCTAACCCAACGTTCCCATTCACTTCAGACAAAATATAAAACTCTAACCTCAACATTACAAATGTCTTTTCCAGACACGGATGTCTAAATTTCAGGCATTACTGAGCTTTACAGTGCCCAAGTTTCTCTCTAAATCTGCTCCTAAAGCAGGAGGACAGCCCAGGTCATGCAGTTTGGGATTAAAAGGAATTGGCATCAGGGAGGAACTACTTAACCGTGGGTTTCTTTTGCAGATGCATTATCTCCATCTTCTTGAGCATTGATACAGAACAACAATTACTCTTCAGGACAGTATGAAAGATATAACACGATGACATCATTATGCATTGCAGCTTAATGAACCCCTGACTTTCATTTTGTTTAGAAGGAGCATCCAGGAAAATCAATAAGACTGCCTCCTAAAGTAGAGTGGTACTGCCTTCAGCATGGTCCTCCATACCAGCTCATTTCCTCACCATCAGAGAAACAATGATTTTTCCCCTCCTCCTGCTGCTTATGTTTCTTCTTTTGAGAAACTTCAACAGAATTAAAAACGTATTCTATTTACCTTTCCCCCCCAACCATGCAAGAAAAAAATAATTATGAACAAGGTCATACTGTATTTTTAATTACTTATGAAATTAGCATTTAGATAGCACGATAGCACCATTCACCTAAGAGTTCTGTGGCACTTTTAAAATTCAATTATATCAAGCACTTATTTATTTTTTCATGCTTTGAGGAAACAGAGATGATTATTATCACCATCCTCACTTTATCAGACAACTACTGAAGAAACTGAGGCACGCAGTAGCTAAAGACCAGATTCTGCTTAAAATTGCATGAAGATCTGAAATAGTGCCACTGAAGTGAAAGGAGTTACACCTACCTAGAACTAGGCTAGTACCTGGCACAGAGCAAAGACCTAACTATTCCCAAAAGCTCCAGGTATTGCTGTGGCAGAAGGAACAAAAGTAAAATCTGTATTCTGCATCACGAACCTCTTCCCAGTTCACCTGCTCATCATAAAGAATCAAATCATATTTTTAGCACGAGCAGTCAGCGACAGGTCAGGAAGAGATTAAACAGCTATGCCAAGGTCATATAAGGATATTTGCAACAGAGAATATCTCTGAGCTCAGATTTCCCAACTGCTAGGATACCACTTTAATCACTCACATACCTTTAAACACCACTAGCCATAAAGACAAAATAAATTCAAAGGAACTGTGCTGCATTTCAAGAAGCAGCCAAGCATCTTAAAGCATTCTGTACCTCATCAAAGCAACATTCCAAGAGAGCCCACTGAGCTCCTTAACTCACTTTCTGCTGGTAACAAGATCGACTGTGCATTGTACTGATGGGAAGGGTGAAGTCAAGCTGAGGCGCTTCTGTTAACCAGATACCCTCTGATCATAGAACTTAACACAATTTTTCTCTCTCCCTCCCAGTCACTGCCTTTATTATGCATTTTTAGAACATCCTCCTCTCTCAGAGAAAGCCTTATTCAACACTCATTCTGGGTATTTCCTATTGGAGTCATATGGGAAAAGTTATTTTCAGTATTTTCATAACACTGCCTTCTTAAACAGATCATAAATTTTCCTGCAACATTTGTATATGCACCAAAGTATCAATACAGTACAGCATAATCTGTTATTTCTTTTAAAGATTTCCTAGAAACAAAGATGACCAATACCTCTGAGGATCAAGACCTGAGAAAAAAATCTTAACTCTTTGGCTTATATTCCCTGCTTAAGGACTTGGGTCTGGATTCCAATGCAAAACAAAAAGAAACTTGTGGTACAGAATGAAGGTTACCCTAGGGATGCAGGGAGAGAAGAAAAAGGTCATGAAATTTTACTGCCAGGTTAGCCAAAGAATAACAAACAAAATGGCTGCTCCACGTCCTAAAATACATTGAGGCTTAGTCTAGGATTGAGTGATATAGTAAAGCACTTCCTCTGGGTTCCCCTCTCAGACATACAGCACGTTAACTACATTTAACCATAAAAATTCCAGAGTCTTTTCTTCAGCACTGAAGATGACCAATATCTTCTGGACAAATGTGTTATTCTCCTCTTTGCTTCCCTAACTTCCTCTCTCTCTCTCTCCAAAAAACCTTCAAACAGTTTCTGAGACTTATTCCTGATGAACTGTGTTTAAGAGCATCCACCCGTTTTGCCTACTTCACTGTTTGCCTTGCTCACTCGCACTGCCGCTTTCTGTGAATTCCTACAAAACCTGTACATGATGAAGCCATCCACCACTCAAAGCTACGGCCACCAAGTACCAGAAAACACAGAACAAGCATGGACTTACGCAGCTCCTCCCGGTGCCTCTCCGTCTGTGCAAAAAACTGGCGAAGCTCCTCCGTGATCTCCATGTTACTCAAGTCATATTCTATCTCCCCTTCAGACTCGGAGTCCTCCTCCATTTCGGAGCCCCCATCAGCATCCTCCCTCCCTTGGGGGGCATCTGTATACTGTCGAGCTCCCCCACGGTACGAAGCTCTGCCACGTGGGCTATAGCTGGAAGAATAGTTTTGGGTATGTGGGAGATAATTCCCATCCCAATCTGAGTAGCGGCTACTTGGAGATGCTGCAGAAGGACGCCACGGCAGGTGATACAAGGACTCCAGGGCTTTCCTGTAGGCTCGCTGGTGTCTACGCATCCAGCGCATGGCTAAGTCATAGTGCTGCCAGTATCTTGCGTACACTTGCTTAGAATACCACGGCTCAGTGTCTTCCTGTGGCCAAAACATAAGGGGAAGAGGGAAGAAAACAAAAAAAAAAAAAAAAAAGAAGAAAATAAATTGTAATTGAGGGGACAAATGCTGTAAATTCAAGTGCAAACTCTGCCTTTTAGCCAGTAGTCATCCTTTTCCTATGATAAACCATAGCCAGACCTGAAAGAGGACAAGCATTAACACCATGAAAGTGCACTACACTTGTTAAAAGAGTTTGGTTTTGCATCAACACAACTAACAGTGAAAAATTCACAACAGTGAAATTGTGTGTCCAGAAGGTATTTTCCAAGTGTTTGTGCTACTACAGGGGGAATTGGTTCTTTTCAGAGAATATGCTGTTTGGGTATATTCCACAATTCCTTAGCCACTCAAGTGAGCTGTGAGAACTGAATCAGTCCAAGGTGTATGTATTACAACCTACACCTAATTTCCAAATCCGCAGACAGAAAACACAAGAGATTAAAATTCCTCCATGTTAAACAAAGGCATTAATTTTATTCAGTAACGTATTTCCTCCACCTGCCTGCCAAAGTAAGTTTCTCAAACAAGGTCAAATGGCAATTCAGCCAAGTTCCTACACCTACCATGGCCTCAACCAAAACCAAGACTGTATTTAGCCAAGTGCAAGCTGCCAATCAATCTCCCTTTTGCACTCATCAGCAACCAACATATGAAGAGGGGTAATAAAGTACCACTGATAAGTTACACGGAAAAATAATTCTATGGAATCAAACATACTGTAACACATCTTCTCCTGCCTTCCAGCTAATCATCGTTTTCCTGAAAAAAGTTTCATGCTGTTCAGATTCCACCAGTCCCTCTAGCCTTAAGTCCCTTCCTACAGGCCTCATTCTAATCTCAAAAAGAGTAGACAATAAGGATAATAAGAGTAGATAATAAGAGAACCAAGAAGAAGGCCATAAAGTAAATCATAGTCTAGAACAAGTGAAATAAACAGCAAATGTTTGGGTTCTTCCCCCCTACATCTTAATTTCCATAAAGAGATATTTTATCTGGGCCAAACTGGAATGCCTGTACTTTAAATTGGAAGAATTTTAATTAAGCCATGCTTTGGCAAACACTCAAAATTATGGCAAGATTAGCTGAGGTTTTCAGAGATTAACGTGACATTTACAGTTCTTTCTTAATTTTTTTTTTTTAAAGAAAGCACATACACCACAAAAATCTCTTTAAGCATGTTTTCTTGATCTGCACGGGCACTGTTCCGTAGCCTTAGAAGAATGAATGTCTGGAAAAAAACAAACTCAAAGCAAAACAGAAAAAATAAACTTAAGAAATACTTTCCATTTAATGCTAACAATATCAATAGAGGTTAATTTTATTTACTTACATTTATTTTCACTATGCAAATGCTAGAGAGTTTGTAACAATGATTGTAATTCTCATGTTTCTCTTCTCTTTGCCAGTTTGAGCACATCATCCCATAAGAGATCTATAAATGCCATCTCTTTTTAAGGTCATTGGTAAGTGCTCTCAGACACAAAATATCTCTGGCTAACAGAGTCCATAAAGAAAACTCACCACCAAAAAATTGAATTCCTTAAGATATTCTTATTAAAAACTGCACCTTATTAGTGAAGGGCTGTAGGGCTCAGCTACATGATTTAAAAGTCGAGACAAATTATTTTTCCTGAAAAGTAACAATTTGTGGAGTTCAAACTTCATTCTGATTCTCCTCTGGGTCTAACACTGCGCTGCTACAAGACCACGCATTTCAGAATATTTCTTCCCAAGATGAGTGGGTGCAAGAAAAGCATCTGCCTTCCATATGGAATCTCTTCACTCTTAATCATCCAACCATCTAAAAGCCAGGAAGAACAATGTTTTATTTACTGTTCTTGCTCTGCTTAAGAATGTCACACTGACTCCTCAACCTTCAAGAGTCAGATGAGAATGTCCTGTTATCAAAAGTGATACATCCACAGATTACTTTTAGAACATTCTGCCTACTTTTTCCACTACTTAAAAATTCAGTTTCAAAACATCATCAAAATTGACAAAAGTAGGTATCTCCTACACGATTCAACATATTTCCAAAGAAGACAACACATGCTTTTAAAGCTCAAAAACTATCTCCAGTTCTCCTAAACTGTTTCTAAAATGGGCCTTGATGACTTTACTGAAAGCTCTGGAATCCAGATGGCTGATTTGTCCAGCTGACTAGCTCCGGTTGTTAATTTAGGGGAAAGGAAGACAAAAAGCCAGTTCATGTAGACAGAGCTGGGATGCTGGTGCCTGTCCAACTACTTTTTGTGGCTTTTTTGTTGGAAGTCACCCTTGAAAACCCCTTTTACAGTTGAATTTTAAAAATACATCTGTTAGAAAAGGAATTACAGAAATGTTTTACATTGGGGTGGAAAAGGGAAAGGAACACTTTAAAGACTAACTTAGCTCTATGTCTGTGCTTTTTCAGCTGCAGAATAAATGGAAATAAGAGATTTCCTCAAGGAAACAAAAGCTATAAAACTAAGACAAATGATCAGAGTCCTCTGTTATTTTCCTGTTATGTCTCTGGAGTCTTCCCAGCAGCAGACAAATCACCCACTGTTGCAATCTGAATTCTATTTTCAAAGCAATTTAGCTACTTTCACATCTAATTCTTACATGTCTGCACTGACAGTTCGACAAAAGTGTTTAGACACATTTTGTATATAAAATGTTACTAAGTTATCACACAGAAACCCAGAAAGATTGCTTACCATCTCTTGCAGAGTTTTTTCTGGTGATCAAGGTGAACTAGAAAAGAAAACAGTAGCTTTTTAATTCATAAAAATGCATGTATGGTCACAAGCACTGAATATATCTTTGTTAAACTTTGAGTACTATGGCCTACAACTATTAAATATCCCTTCTCTGTTGTGGCTAGCTGAAGTCTCTTATTTTTAGCTTTTTGATTAACATCACTAAAAATCCTATTCCTTAAAATTTCCCACTACAATAACAAGGTTAAAAGGGAGCCTTTGATGCGACACAGCCTAAAATGCTGGGACCAGACATTTTTTTCCCCTGTTACTTTCTTCTATTTTCTCCCACACTTTATGCTTCTACAACCTTTATTTTACAAATTATTGTCAAACAAAAATCCCCTCCAATACCTGAAGGGAACCTACAGGAAGACTGGGGAGGGACTTTTTCACACAAGTGTCTACTGACAGGACAAGGCAAAATGGATTTAAACTCAAGAAAAACAGATTTAGATTGGATCTTAAGAAAAAATTCTTGAGTATGAGGGTGGCAAGACTCTGGAATCAATTGCCCAGAGAAGCTGTGGATGCCCCCCTTCCTTGCGGTGTTCAAGGCCGGGTTGGATGAGGCCTTGAGTAACCTGATCTAGTTGAGAGGTGTCCCTGCCCATGGCAGCGAGGTCAGATTAGGTGATCTCTAAGGTCCCTTCCAACTTAGGCCATTCTATGATAAACTTAAATGAAACAGACTGATATTACTTTTTAGTGGTGTCTGCACAGGGACATCTATAAAAACAATTATCAAACAATGATTAAACCTATCACGACTCCATTGGAAGTAGTAAGGTTTCTATCTAAAGAAACTAGGGTGGATTTATAACTTCGTACAACCCCTCCTTTCACTTTATTTCTCCCTTTAGAAAAAAAAAAATCAGACATCAGATCCTGCCTCCCATAAAGAAAACACAGACAAGTCAAGTTGCAATCACATTTTTTAAATGTGAAGAAAAGCCTAAAGGAAGAGTGGCAACTGGAGAGGGGATAAAAAAAAACAAACAAAACCCAAGAAGTGGAGGAGAGAGGGAGAACAAGGTTTCTATAACCACCAGGAAGGATTTATAATTGCTGTCATTTTCAGTGCAATTTACCAGCATGAATCATTAAATATTCTGAATCCTCTTCCTACCTGACAATTATTTTATTACATTACGATGCCAGCTGCTTCATCCACATATTTTTCCTGACACTCTCACCCTCAACTCCACCTTTATGTTAGGCAAGCACCATTGAAAAGGAAAGAGACTCCATACAGTATCACCACTGCTACCCCTAAGACATGGTCAAATGCTTTTCTCAGCAACACTGGAGCATAGCCAAGACAGCACTGAGAACTGGTGTAGATTTATACCAGCATAAACTCAGGAATTTTTCAAAATGCCTATGAAGATGATACATAAACCAGTTGTGTTCTGCCTCATATTTAACAATACTGACTGAAGAGCAACTTTTTGCCCCTTAAGACAAGCCATTATCGTGTGAAAGGAGAACAGGGATGGGTCACGTTCAGCAAAAATACAAACCAGGCAGCTACCACAAAGGCAAATTATTGTCCTTCCCAAAGCCCACGCTAAGCTGAAACCCACAAGCCCTTGGACACACCGACCTATCTACAGGAAGCCCTACACGCACAAACTGCAACCATCGGGACTTACGGCAGCAAAGGATTGCAGGATCAGGCAAGAAGTGTGCAAGCTCCTTGTATTCTCTCCCCGCCTGCTTGGACTAAGAAGAAAACTGAGCGCTGAGGTCGCTGTAAAACACTGCGGTGACTTGCAACACTTGCAGCCCACAAAGACATGAAAGACTCCTGGGCTAACCCTCTTTGTTCACTTCAAACTTGTCATTTCCCACGCTAACCCTCTTCAAAACTTTTATCTCCACTCTCACAATATACACATAAGCTTTTTATCCCTTTCCCACACACATCTGGATACCGTCAAGGTTGCTATAACATCTTTTTCTCATAGTTAAAAATCTAAGTCCGTGGTAGCTGGTTCTTCCATGTTCCACTTCAGAATAAGTATATGTATTAAATTTTCATGTTCACTCTAATACCTATATGACCAAAGATTCTCTGAACTAGCTTTAGAATAAACAGAAATCGGGTTCAAAGCTCGATGTAAATACTCTTTTTAAAGCAGTAAGTGGTGAAGTGTGGTACTCGACTACTAATACACCATATGTACATATGAAGGGGAAGGAGGGGAAAAACCCTGGCAAAACTATACAACTATATTAGTTTA